GCTAAAAAGCTGAGTTCCTACAAAATGAACCTATCAGTTAATGATAGCTCTAATTGGAAGAATTAAAAGGAGAAAAGTGATTCCTTTGTTTGAGATGTTAAGTAAAATTTGCAGGTTCTAAGGTACAAATGTCTATGGCCATCAGCAAAGTGAAAAATTACATTTTAGTTCAGTTGAAGCATACTTGACATACTGGGAGGACAGAAGAAATGGGATTAATTTTGTGTTTTTTTTCCTTCCCCTCATCAAAGGCTTCTAAAAACATCAGATTACTTTTCTTTAAAGTTGTACATATCACAGTACCTTCTCTATTAGTAATTTGAACATTAGACAAAAATTGTGTTTCAATTTCAGCTTCACTATTATCAGTGTGTGACTTGTTAGGGTGAGTATGATTCAGAGCCTCAGTGTTCTTATAAAGAGGGCTATTAACCCTTTCTTTGCAGCACTGTAGAGAGGAGCAGAGAGAAGGTACAATGAAGTCCTTGCACAGTGCTTGGGGCAGAGCAGAGACACAAAATGTAGCCATTATTATGATGATGCCTATGTTGGAATTGCCCCAGTTTTTATTTCAGTCTCATTTCCTTAAGCAGCTCACAGAAATACCATTTGTGTTGGTTATTTGGAAAACATAATTTTTCTTTTTAGATGACTTATTCATGACTAAAAATATCTTCAAACCAGACCTGGACCTTCACCTAAATTAAGAAGTAGGTTCAATAACACTGGCAGTACATGGTCACCAGACTCATGTATTTAATGCCATAACCCCTGCCCCCTACCCCAGGGCAGGTTGCACCCCCATTCTGCATCTTGGTACTTCTGGTCATCCCAACAGTTAATTTCCACCTGCAGCTGTCTGCGCGTCCCATCTACATGCTCTGTGATGTGCTATGATGTGAAAAGAACACAAGATCAAGACTTGAAGAACTGTGTTTGGATTTTGGCTCTGTTGGAATCTAAGACATTTCAGAGACCCATATACTAAATACAGATTCTAAATTAGGTAAACCTGCAAAATACAGTGGTAGAAATGTCAAGAGAGGAGTTGTTTCAATGAGTTGAACTTAGCTTAAGGTGAAGGCACTGGCTTGCTTAACTGGGCAGATGAAGGCTCACAGATGCCACTTTTTCAGGCATGCTAATATCAGTGACGTCTGTCTCTCTCCTGTTTTTCTCAGTGTGTTCATTTTATTCTCTTGCCATGCAGACAGGCTTTCTCTATATAGTAAATAAGATAGCCACCGACAATGCCCAATTTGTATTCTTCAAACCCTGTAATCCAAAAAGGAATGTACTTTCCCCCCTACTTCCATCTTAAAAAACAACAGCAAGAATAGGGAAGAGTTCTCTACTCAATGCTTGGGAATGGAGCTCCCGCGTGGGCATACTTGGGTCACGGAGGCAGAGTTTGGCGACTGGCAGCCCCACTAAAATTACATGACTTGAGTGAAGGCAGAGCAGTTAAAACAATTCCCCAAGAGCAACTGGCCTGGGCAGACGGAAATGAAGCTGTCACTGTGAGCACAAAGGAGGAAAGAAGAGTATTATGATGGAAAGACGCTGTCCTTACAAAATGCCCAAGGGCTCTTCATTAAACCAACCAGTCTCCTGTTTAGGATTACTGTTCCTAACATCTCAGCTTGCCCAGAACAGTCCTGTTTTCCTGCCTGGTTTCCTGGCATAATTACTCAGATCATCCTTTCATTCTCAAAAGTATCTTAGTTTGGACAATTAACTATATAGTTACTGTAAATAAGATCAATTAGCAATTTGGCTTCAGCCACCCAATCTGTTTGCAATCATCCTAATCCTTTGACTCAGCTGAACTTTGATTTGAAATTTGATCATCTCTTCCTTTTCCAGCTCCAATGTCCCCAGTATTCTGTAGATGCCTGATATCCTCCGTTTGGAACTCTTCTCAGGACATAGGTATTCTTACACGTTCTTCGCTTTTATTGGTAAACTGACATTCTTCCCCTCCCAGGAATTCTTTTGGATTTTAAATAGTAGTGAAGGTGGCTTTATAACCTGTGCTTTTGCTCAGAGGATCTCTGCTAGAATTTTCCTTGCAGGAACTTCTCCAAGTTAAATGTTCAGACGCTTCCAAATACATAGTATAGCTTCAGCCTGTGCTTTTTGTTTCTTCAGAATATAGGCTCCCAGAGGTCAGTGAGGCATGGCAGCAAATTTCCTGTCCTGTCGTAGAAACTATGGCAAATGGGATCAGGGCGAGGATGGACAAAACAGTTAATGCAGTGTGATGATGGTAAGAGAAAAAAACCAGTTTCTTAGTCATGTATTTGCTGTTACCCCTTCGCGTACCAACCTCGCACACCTAAGAAGGCAGCATCCTTCCTCAGCTTAGCCAGTTGCCTCCTGCCTGTGGTCGTGCTGATCAGGTGGAGGCAGTGAAGAGAGACCTGAAGTAGCAATCTCAGTTTCTATCTGAGAAAGGGTGAGACAGCGAAGAGGAACAGAGAGCCGAGGAAACTCGGTGGGAAATGGGAGAGGGCAGTACTGGGCCCCGTGGAAGTTGAGGGGCCACTCTCACCCTGTATGCCAAGTGAATGACGTTTCTACCTCTGTGCAGGCAATGTGAGAAGTGTGATTGGGAGCTGAGCAACTTGTCAGCCCTAGTGGGATGGGGAGAAGAGATGTCTGGTGTTTCCAATTGAGGGTTTGACAAAAAGACACAACTGCTGTGAAGAGAAGTACTTGGGGGGAAGCAATGCATAACAAAGATTTTTTTGGGGGAATTTATTCACTTATTTAACAAATAATATGTATTTTGTCTTGTCCTGTGTCAGGCACTGTTATAAAAAGGATATAGCAGGGATGTATATAACATCTGTGAGATCAGAAAAAAATATATATATTAGCCTCTGCTCATGGTTCCTGGCATAAAGCTCCTAAAATCCTTATAATTTCCCAAGTGACAAGAATACTAGGAGCATCTCTTATTCTAATATTTGTCTTTGACCCCATCCTGACACAGGGCTTCTAAAGCCCTTATGAATTCCTAAGGGATAAGAGCACTGGATGGCAGCTGGTCACCAGAGGGCCAGGCCGGAGAGGGGAGAGGGGCTGGAAATGAAGTTAATGACTGATCATACCTATGTGAGGAAGCCTTGATAAAATTCCCAATAGTAAGGGTTTCAGAGAGCTTCCAGGCTGGAGAATACATCCACACCAGGAGGGTGATGCACTCAACTCTTTTGGGTCAGGAGCGCCTGTGTATTTCTTCATCTCCTGGGCCTGCTCACCCTGTGCATCTCTCATCTGGCTACTCATCTGTATCCTTTAACATACCCTTTAGTAAACTGGTAAACATAAGTGTTTCTCTGAGTTCTGTGAGCAGTTCTGGCAAACTAATTAAACTCAAGGAGGTGGTGGTGGGGTTGTCTTTGGAATCTCTGATCTTCAGCCTGTTGGTCAGAAGCACAGCTGACTGGCATCTAATGTGTGTTTGTGTGTGTGTTTGTGTGTTGGAAGTGGGTCGGTTTTGTGGGACTGAGCCCTTAACCTCTGGGATCCGATGCTCTCTCCAGGTAGATAGTGCCAGAAATGAGTTGGTGTCTGAGAATTGCTTGTTGGTGTGTGGACAAACCTCCACATATTTGGTGACCAGAAATGTCAGAAGGGATGCAGTTTGTGTGAGTAGTAAAAGGAGACATATGGGGAGAAAACCTATAGTAGGGGAGAACTGGGTTTTTCCCTACATAAAGTGAAAAGCTGAGTTTGTCTGTTTTAGCATCTATATGTGCATAATAGAGCACACTTACCTGGCAAAGCCTACATTTTAGTGAATGGGGACATACAGTACAAATATAATAAAACATAAATTATGTAGCATTTTGAGTGATAATATAGCACATTGGGGAAAAATGGAGAAGATAAGGGGCAACTGGAGTTCAGGGAAAGTGGTTGCAAATTTGAAAATGAGAAGTCAGGGTAGGCTTCAGAGGGAAGGTGACATTCAAACAAAAACTTAGAGATGAGGGAGAGGTTGATAAATATCTGGGAGAAAGGCTTCCGAACAGAGGGAACAACCCATGCAAAGTCCTTGAAGTGGATGTGTGTTTTGTTCAGAAACAGCAGGCCAGTGTGACAGAAGGTATTGTGTATGTCGCAGGGCAAGGAGTAGGAGATGAGGTGAGACTAAGGGGAAGCAGGCAGGTGATGCAGGGCTTGCTTTAAGGTTAACTGAGAGAAATGGGAGCATTAGACCTCCCAGCTGATGCTTTTAATTGCATCACTGTCTGATACATCTTGGTATTATGTAATACAGTTCCTGCAAGAAATCTGCACTATTTGTGTTTCTTTTGAATGTGACATAGTGCTAATTCCTTGTGCACTGTATATTCATTTAGGTTACAACAGGCTTTGCTTACAGGATGGGGCTTCCTACATAGAGGCACTTGTTGAATGCACGAATGAACAAATGAACAAGTGAGGCTGGCATTTAGCTCAGTCCAAAGTGGGTCCTCAGCCTATTATGTCAACCTTATTGCCCCCACATCCTATTTTGACTTCAGTTCTATTCAGTGGCCTGCTCTTTCAACTATGTATTTCGGCCTGTCTTTGCTCACCCCATTTCCCCTTACTTGAGATGCGCTTCATAAACTTTCTGCACTTGATTCAAAGTCTATCTGTTGTTAAACACCCAGGATAAGCTCCGCTTCCCCCAGGAAACTGCTCCAGACTCTCTGGCCTTCCTTACCTTTCCTGTTCTATAGTAGTATTCCGTTGCTTAATCTGTTTTATTGTATAACTTTTTGGATAAAAACCACCGTTTGCACCCTCTATGCGTTAGGAAACGAAGACACAAACGAATGGCAGCATCTCAGGGAGATAGATTTAACAAAACAAGGAGTGCACCGGGACCAGGACCTGCAAAGTCACACCTCAGACAGTAAGTCATAGTGCTTCCTACTCCTGCAAGGGTTAAACGAGCATTTCCTTTCCGCGCCTACGTAACCCCACCCCTTTCCCCGCGAGTCAAAGGCGGCCCGGGCCGAGGACGCTTGTCCTTTGCGGGCTGCCGTAGGGGCTCGGGTCCGGGGCGAACATGGCGGCCTCCGAGTCCGCGCTGGCCGGGATTCCCGGCACTGCGGAGGGCGAGGAGGAGACGATTCTCTATGATTTGTTGGTCAACACCGAGTGGCCCCCGGAGACAGAAGTGCAGGTGGGCCAGGCCCCTCCAGACTCGCGGGCAGCTCGGCGCGGGCGCTCTCCGCGCAGGGCCACGTAGCAGGTGCCACGTAGGGGAGTGGAGCCGGTGGGCGGGGGAGCCGCGTGCGGTCGCTGTGGCAACGGCCTCGCGGGCGGGTCGGGGTCTGGGGCCCTTAGTGGGGCTCCTGACATTCCTCCTGGACTCCGAATTCGGTTGTCGGCGGCAGCACCTCGGGCTCAGGCGCACGTAGTTTCCTGCCCTGGTTCTTAGTTTCACTGCCGGTTCTTGGAGGGAAGGCACAGCGTTGGACGCGAGGGTCCCTCCCCGGAAGGCGAGGGGTGGCCGGGGCTCATCTTACCTGCACTGGCAGCGCTTCCCAGGACCCAGCAGTCATCTCAACGCGGGGCTGCCAGGAAGCGCGGCTTCCCACCTTTACTCCCACTTGGGGGTGAATTGCAGCAGCTACTTTGTATTTCAATAAACAAGCATCTAGTAAGATTGTGTCCGTGTTCCAGATACTGTTCCGGGCGCTGGGCGTACTGAGGTGTTCACTGTTTGTGGTGGTTGCAGTCTAGAGGGGAGATTAGTGAGGAGGAAGCATTTTTCACCACCTGGCGTGTTAGCTGTAATAGCGGTGTGAGCAAAATGCCGTGAAAGTCAAGAGTTGAGTTGCTGCTGACCCAGGGTGGGGTTCCCTGCTAGAGAAGGGCTTCCCCGCGTGGGTAACCTGAACAGGACCTTAGGGTTTTAAGTTGTTCCTAGAGAAAACTTGCCAAGCACAGGGGGAAGAGTAGGAACCAGGAACACATATTTATTCAGTAGGGGTTCATTGATTGTCTAATATGTGCCAGTCATTGTTTTAGAATCAGAGGATGCAGCAGCGTGAAAGCACTTTCATTAACCATCAGGGAGTTCAGCCATGTGAATTTTTTGTAACATTTTTTCTGAGTGTTTACTGGAGAAACTACTCATTCTTTTATAAAGTTTTTGTTTTTTTTAAAACCTCTGTCCCGCTACAGTTTCTGCTTGTCTTGAATAATGTATTTTGTAGGCTGGGAGATATCTGCATATATTCTTGTTTTTCAGATATTTAGTTTGTTTATCTTGAACAATGTGAATATTTTGTAGGTTACACAGCTAGGAATCTGTTGGTGCAGCAATTGTTTGGATGAAGATCACTTCCACTCCTTAGTACTCTCTGTTTAATTACCAAAATGTTTCAGAATGCTTAACAGAAATTGCTTAAAAAATAAGCATGGCAGCACAGTAATTTGCAATAACAATGTAAGTTGGTCATGGGGAAGGTAGTACAGCATGGAGAATATAGTCAATGATCCTGCAACTTCTTGCTACATTGATAAGTAACTGCACGAGAGGCCAGATGATTTAATACTATGGGTAACTGTTCAACCACTGTGTTGTGTATTTGAAATCAACATAAGCTTATATATCAATACTTTAATAAAATAAGCATAGCATCAACTTATCGTGAAACCTTGTAGCACTTTTTTTTGATGCTTTGGATTTTGTTCTGTTGATTTCAGCTGTTAATTACAAGCTCTTGGAGGTCCGCTGCATCTGATTCATCTTCATATTCCTCCCAGGACCAAATTTTGTCTTACATGAATTGGATGATCAGTTCATGTTTGTTGAATGAAAGAACCTTTCTGTGCTTAAACCGTATCTGTCTGCATTTACTGTATGACCATTGTACCTTTCTTAACAGCACATACGTGTGCCTAGTATTGTTTAGCTTACACGGTGTTTATAGTTATACTTAAGGAACTATTTGATGTAGCAATTAAACATCAGTGTGTGTTCATAACATTTTCTATGTGGATATACAACAAATACTCAGTAAATTTGCCTAGACACATGTATTTGTTAATCTATTTGACCACTTTTCCTGGAAACAAAACTTATTTTAGGCCTCTGTAGCCCACCAAGTAGACTGTGCTGAACTGGCAACTAGTATGGTCTTTGCCCTTGATTTCTCTTTGAGCTGGTAATTTGTTTTGGAAACAGTGTCCAGCCCCAAATCCTTGCCCTCCTCTGCAAAATTCATCCTTACAACTGCCTGTAACTCTGCCATGCTCACTTTTATTCCCACTGTTCCTGGCCTTGCTCCTACTTGTTTTGTTTCTGTCTATAGTAGTTTTCTAAGTACTGGTAAGGTGTACCCAGTACTCTGTATTACAAAGAAGTACAACTTTATGAATACCAGAAAATTCTCAGATGTAAGTTTTCTTTTCCCCCCAATTGTAGCCCAGAGGTAACCGAAAACATGGTGCGTCCTTTATCATTACAAAAGCAATTAGAGGTAAGTACAGCTTATTTATTTTCCTATGTATAATATAGTTGACAGAATTTTTTCCCATTTCATAACTGTGCTATTTTAGAAAGTTCAGGGATTTTAAAATGTTCTTTAGATTTCTAACATAGAGCCTCATAAAAATGAGTACTGTACCTGTCTGATTTTGGTATATGGTATGTACATATGCTTATGTATATAAATATATACAAGTACACACACATTTTTAATGCAGCTTAGAGCTAAGCATGGCCTGAGTTTAACCATTATGGGTGAGTTCTAGAAGAAATGAAAACAGTCAAACCCCCTATGAGTCTGAGAAACTGGATATTGAAGGTGAAAAGGCAGTGACAGTTTTAAGTGGTTTACATGATGTTTCAGATACACCTGGTCACAGTTACTCAAATTACAAATTTAGGGCATTCATTTAACTTCTGATAGACTTTATATATGAGTTTGCAGGATCTGAGAAAGTACTGAGCAGCATTAAGCTGGTGCTGAGAGGACTTTATGTTCCTTCATTGATATAATCCTTTACTAGACCACCAAAGTAGGTGTGAGGAAAGTTTTGTTTAGATGAGGAAACTTGTCCAAGGTCATTCGTTTGGATTTTGAATGCATGTCTTTCTGGCTCCAAAGCCCATTCTTAGTATACCATTGAATTTGAGCTACTTATAAAGAGAAGGTTGAGTTTCAAAGGAGTTGAGTGCTTGGAATTAACTACAATTTTATATTCTGGTAAATGTAAAATTTATTTCCGGATATAAGAAGCCCTACCATTTTCAGTTTTTATTATCATAAATGCTTTTTGAAATTTTAAAACTTAGAAAATGTATGCAAATAATAAAATTCATTGTAGAAAATTTAGGGGATATAGGTAATCACAAATTAGAATAAATGAATTTTCCTCATTTTACCACCCAGAGGTAATCTGTTGTCCTTCAGACCTTTTTTCATTGATGATACACCTAATTACATACACATGCTCAGGCATTCATACACATTTTTAAAAGAAGTAAAACATTGTTTGTCAGTAGTGTTGGATAATTCATTTCCTTTGGACGTCCCCATTTTAGGTATTACTATATTTTAAATCTTCCCTGTAACGTTTAAAAGGGTATCCTAATTTTTATACAAACACTTTGGTTTTAAAGTTGATTACTATGACTAATACCCTATGGTTTTATTAAATCCTCTTAAGTGAAATTTAGTATCTCAAACCACTTTATACTAACAGTCAAAAAGTTATACTTTAAAGTCTTGAAAACACTTACTTGGGATTTAATGTAAACAAATACATGTATCATGTTGTAAAAGTTGTATATATTACATTATAGTCTCTTAAGAGTTGTGTTTTGTAATGGCACAGTCTACAGTATATTTTAGATTCATTGTGAATAAATCTTAATTTTAAAATTATTTCTAAAGAATAGCTGATTCATATTTGGCTCTGTTATTTCTTTTTTATTACAGATCGTTTATTATTTTTACATCAGTACATCTGGTACAGGTGAGTTGTCACTTCTTCAGAGAAATAGCTGAACATCAAATACAGACATTGTGATCCTGTTTATGATTCAAGTTTTCAGGGTTGAATCCCAGATTGTGATATATGTATGTTGATATTCAGTGAACACAGTTTATAAAATAGACATTTCAAGCATTTGACATACCCTGACGGGATCATCTCAGTCGACTATTATCTAAGTAGACTGCGGTTAATGTTTGTCATCTAAGTAGACTGAGGGTAATGTTTGTCGCTTTGGTCCTTGTTAAGAATGCCTCGTGACAACTTCTCCCTTCTCTGATGAGTGCGCTTAACCTTATCTTGAATGCCCACATGGTGGATCTCTTGCTTGAGTATCTTTTAAAAAAACGTTTTTTCTCACTGTTGTGTCAATTCTTGTCAGTATTCTTTTTCTGTCCATCAGAGAAGGTTTAGGTTACAGTTCTTGGGTGCTTTTTGATTCTTTTGAGTGTTAAGTATGTTTTCAGGCATGGTGGTAATTTTCAACCTTAAAAGGAACAGGAAAGTGATGATTCTGATGAAGGGTATAGTTTTGCCTTTAGGTATGTGTTTAGGAATTGTTTTATAGAATTATTTACCACAGATTGCTTTGTCCTTAAGGACATCTAATCTTAAAAGCTCCAGAGATAACAGTTCTGTAAAAGAGACCTTTGACTCTTGTCTAGTATTAACTCCAGTGTTTTTCTGCTTTTAATGTGTATGTGTGTGTGTGTGTGATACAGATAGAGATGGCGGGGTGGTCGGGGAGAGAAGGAGGGAGAGAGAGAGAGAGGCTGGAGAGGTGGAAGTAAGAGAGGGGAGTACAAGACGTAGGCTGTTTTTCCAGAGCTCATGCACTGCAACTTACTAGTTCTAAACACTGTAGGATAAGCTGGGCAGAAAATACGTCTGTTTAGTTTGTGGCTTGACAGTCCGTACTTTCGTTACTTACTGAGAAGGAAGACTGAACAAGAGCTCCTGCTACAGGCTTTGTACCTTAAGATCAGGCATCGGGAGGTCCCTAAGAAGTCCCTTCCCTTGCATTGGCCATGTTGATCGGGGTACAGATTGTAAATACACCATGAGGTGATTATCAGGTCTTCCCCATGATATGTTAACTCTCTAAAGATTGTAGTTCGATTTTTGCTCTTGAGTTTTTTATTAAATCTAAAAGTTATGGGACCAATCTTTGTTTTGAATGGCTTTTTCTTTTAAAGTTTTTGTTTTGATTGTGAAATATTATAAACAGTCTAAGGACATAGACAATAATATAACAAACCTGTTATGACATCATCTGCATCTGAATTAAAGCGGTTGCTGCTGTTAGTGGCTTCATTAGCCGTCTGTCCTCCTGCAGAATGTTACAGCTTAAGGCCCCCCCATGCTGCCTGGTGCTGCCCTTCCTCATCCGCATCCTTTCCTTTCCCCTCCAGAGGAAATGGTCCTCCTCATGCAGTTATTCACATTCATGTTTCATATCTTTATAATTTTTCTGTAACTGTCTCATGGTATTAAATAATATTTAAAAAGTGAACATATCCTGCAATGTATTGCTAATATTTTAACTTGTTTTGCTTTTTAATTTCCATAATGTTTTTTTTTACATTGAATTGTCTTATTTATTCTTCCCCATCTTTTCTTGCTTTCTTCACGTGTCACTCCTCTAACTTGTGTGTCTGACGACTCGCTTATGGTGAATTATTACTTCCTGTCTTTTGTGAGTGATGTCATTGTGAGTTTAGGCTTGGGGATTCTTGAGCCACATGAGCAAAGTGAAATTGCTGTTCAATCTTGCATATAGTCGTGGCTTTGGGTTTTAATTTTTTCATGGATTTCATTCCCATCCCCCGCAGACCAGAATTCTAGGCAGAGGTTAAGGTTCCTGCAAGTCCCTGGGCCCATCATGAGTTTGTCTAGTTCTCCTTTTATGGGTGGAGGGTCCTGGCTGTCACAGGAGCCTCACTTCCAGATCCTGACCCTTCTGTGGCCCACAGCTCATTTTCTCTCCCAGCTGTTACCTCCTGTTTTGAGTTCTTGTCCCCCTCCTTGTACCCAACTAACTTTCAACTTAGGGCTTCAAGATTTTTCTTCCTTGTGGGTTTAGCTGTACATTAGAATTTTTTAGAGGCGAGTGAGGATTTCTAGGTGTGTAGAGCAGGAATGTGTAAGGACGCTCTGCTATGTTACTGCTCCCTTGATATCTTTAGAAAGGACATAAAATGTATACTTTTGAACACACCAGCATGTTTTTCTAGAGATAGAGAAATGAATGTGGTCAAATTTCAGATCTCCCCAACAGGTAACTTTTGGTTTTGTTTGCCAACATCCCAATTTTGTATTCTAATGGAAAAAAATTCCCTATTTCTTGCCATAGATCTATGTGCAATTTATAATGTTTACCTACTTATATGTGGTTTTTATGATTAGATTTTAATCATTTTATGATTAGCTAATGTGTTGTGATTTCAGCCCTGCACCGTTTTTGCTCCCTGATGGACTCGTTCGCTTGGTTAATAAGGAGATAAACTGGCGTTTGGTACTGGCAAGGTAGGGATGTATAAAATTCATATAATCTCCACCTGGATTAATGAATGTATTTTATATTAATTTTGGGGTCTCTTTAAGGCTTGCAGTCTTGATTCTTATTGTAAATAAATTCCATTGTCATTTATGATTAGTATTGTTTAAAGGTGTTGAATCATTTTGTATGCTTTATACCTATATACTCATCTAATTGTAAGGTCAAAGTTTGGTAACCAAAAAAATTTTTAAATGATTTTAACTTTATCTATTTTGGAGACTACTATAAATACTCATATCAAATTTTTTTTCTTTCTTGCCATGAAAGCAATGGAAAACTTTTGGCTGCTGTTCAAGATCAGTGTGTGGAGATCAGGTAATTGTTAATATTATTCATAATTAAAATTTCCCTTGAAAAAAATTTTACATGATTTACGGGAACTAAGACTTTTAAAGGGGCATATTTAAAGGGATTTTACTGTGAACTCTGTTTTGTGAGGTGTCAGACACTGATTCATGCCAACTGAAGGATGAAGGATACGTTCTCACAGTGGCACACTGTAACCCCATATCATCCTTCTATCTCCTGGGAAATTTCACTGTCTCAGTAGAGAAAGTATATCTTCTGGAACTCTGGGAAATCAATCTTCTTTGACTAGTTACTGCCAAGTCAGCTAAACAAATGCTCAGGAAAGAATAAAAAGTAGTGCCTGCTTTGCTCTGTTGGCATTAAGCTGTATATGGAATATGGGTCTGAAAAGACCAAGGTGTTATATTACATGAGACCACTGATACTCTGTCCTCCTGAGACATTCAGTGGTATTACATACCGTACATCTGTAAGACTTCTCTAAGCTGGGCTTTCTTTATACTTTAAGTAGTATGTCTGTTGGAAAAGAAATAGCAACACTAGTCACTAAGACAGGAAAGCTAGTTTATCTTTTTGGAAGTTAGCAATATCAGACTTTGATCATGTGGTTGAGCAGTATTTGCTGATATGTTTACACGTGGACTTCCTGCAGTATAGTAGAGCCATTACTTTGCACAATTCCAGGAAGTACCATTTACCTAAAACAGTGTGAATAAGATCTGTAGTCTGCAGCTCTAGTTATGCTGTGTGTTCTTTGGAGGCAGGGGCTATCCTCTTTTCCAAGCAGTTTATATTTCCTTGAACATAACAGGTGCTTAGTTTATGTTTGAGTAAGTAGGGTATTTGCAAGTGGGATAGGATGCTGGGATGGCATTACAAGGCATGGCCCACTGACTTGCTCAGAGTTGGCACTTAGTTGGTTTTGTTGAAGGAACATAGACACATGCTTACTTTGTAGTCATCTGAAAAGAAGTGTTTGAGCAAAGATGTGGAATGGTCAGCAAAGAAAAAGGGCAAGGTGGGTCCCCAAAGAAAACCCTATGGATAGTGGCTGTGCCTGATTTTTAAGACATTTTTTCTCCTTATTCCATATGTGTCTTCCCTACACATGCAATGCAAGGTTAGCTCCAGTAGTAACAGTGTAGGCACCTAGTATTCAGTAAATATTTGCTGCTTGGATTAGCATATGAAAAATCTAGTATCATTAGTTGATATTGAGAAGCAGTTATAAATAGGAAATGAGTTTTGAGGAAAATAAATGAAAAGCTGAAATACCCTTTAGTTTTAAGACAGCTCTGCCTTTTACGAAATAGTACTAGGGCTGCTGTTCCCCAACTTGCTTTTGGTAGTAGGTGGCAAATGATCACATGCTCCAGTATGGCGTGCTTACCCTGTTTGTGTGTGGGCTTGCATGGATAAAAAATGACTTGTGAATTGCTACTTTAATTTGTAATTTGGGAGCAGTTATGGATTGTAAGTGGCTGATGTGTGTTTCCTCTTTTCCTAAGTAGTGAAGTAATGATTTCTTATTACAAATATGGGTACTAATTAGAAACCATCATAGAACACAACAAAAAGCATTAAAATAAGGGATTCTTATAAGAAAGACACCCTTCCCCAACTTTGCTTAATTATCTTAAGTGAATACATTCTGTGAAGTTTTGACAAAATCAAATTTATGTCTCCCTCCCCTTCTTAGAAAAAAGTAATTATTATTTGTGATTATATTAAGGATGAAAGCAGTGGACATTCTTAGGTCTAGGTCATGTAATTTATATATAATATCTCAACCCTGCCCTTAAGTTGTGAAGTTGCTATTACACAGCCTGTTTTATTGAAAGGAAAATGAATATGTTGTCCAGGTTACGCAGGTAGAGCTGAAATCAGGTCATCTTCACTTTAAAGATCATGTTCTTTTCTGCTCTATTCCACTTGGAGGCTGAGCAGTCCAATTTCTTGAAGAAATTTATTTCTGTTATAATTGGCTTTTGTCATCATATAACATAATAGTTTAATAAGTGCCTAAAAATGTTAAAGTCTTTAAAATGACTAACCATTACTTTTAAAACAAGTTTTACAAATACTTAAAAATACAGTTAAGTATTTAAAGGTACAGGTTACCTGTAATTCTATCCCGAGTTGTCTACTAGTAACATTTTGGTATGTGTTCTTTGAAATTTCTCTGTGTGTGTAACATATTCATGTATATTTGGTAGAATAATGGTGTATATTCTATGTACTACATTTTTTCCAGATAACTGTTGAAAATTACTACATGTGATATGCAAAGATGTTCACAGTATATTAGTTGCATAATACTGAGTGCATATAGCAAAATCCAAAAATCTCTTAATACTGGGTGTATTTTCTCTTTCACGAAATTTAGCTGCATTCATTTCCTGGTATCTGTGTATATCTGTAATTATTTACCAGGGATAACTTTATAGAAGTTGTTGGATCAAATACTTTGGACATTAAAGTTCTGGATAATCGTGACTAAGTTATTTTCTAGAAGATTTACCAATTTTCATTTTTTTGAACATATAATTATACTACTTTGGTGTGTATTTCTAGATCACAGACCTTAAATAGTTCACTGACCTAAGTATGGTGGCTTATTAAATGATTTGGTTTATTAAAACAAGACTTTTCACTTGAGTGATCACACTTCGTAATATGTATAAGATAGTGGTTCTACCAGGACCAATCTGGGAAGCTTTGAATACTGTTGCCTGGACCCCATCCCAGATTTACTGAATCAACCTTTGGGGATGGGGGCCAGGCATCTCTGTTGTCTTAAATGACCATTTTTAAACTGACTTAGGCTTGTATCACTATATTCTTGGTGTAGCTCCATTTTTTATGAAATAAAACTGGAAGAAAATACTGTTTGTCACCAATGAAAGGTCCCTTTTTGAAGCACAAAACCTTGTCTGTAAGAGAAGGAATTACTTAGTGTTGTGTAGAGAAGTTTAGTCAATAGTGTTTGCTGTGTTTTTAGTACTACACAGTAGTGCTATTATGGTAAAAGTATTGTCCTAATTTTACACACATTTTGCAGGTCTGCAAAAGATGATTTTACTTCTATTATTGGGAAATGTCAAGGTAAGACTTTCCAAAATCTTTAAAAAATGAAGCTTGAAATCTACAACAGCTCACAATATTCTTAAGTCAGAATAGATATTAAATATTAAGAATTATTATGGCTTTATTAAATCATTTTAAAACATCTTAGCTGATTTCTCTATCTTAAATATTTTGCTTTAAGATGTACATTTTGGAGAGATTTGAAATTGAAACTGTTTTTAAAGTCTAAGCCAGTTTCAGGATAAAGTATTTGTAAGTGTTTATAATCTATTTTGAATTCAGTGCAGAAAAAATAGGTATAAGTCAAGAGTTGGTTAGATACACACTGGTTAAAAAAAGGTCTGGTATTTGGCCATTGTTTGATATATTTACCACAAATTTAATGAGTGTCATTTCCATATATGAACCATTTTGCTGGGTTCTAGGGGTATGTGTGTGTGCACAGAGGCACAGTCCCTTACCTTAGAAGGCATGTATAATTACAAACTCAAATAATAATTACAAACTTTGACAAATCTGATAAAGGAAAACTACAGAGAACAGTGAGAGTTTAACCCAGGGTGTGAGATAAGGTTGCTTTGCCAAAGCCATTTTTTCTCAACACTGTCAAGAGGGAGGAGCGGTTAGGACAGGGGAGTGTTTTGATCTGCCTGAGCAGAAAGGCGGGGGGCCCTTACAGGAGGAGACTGAGGAGGGTGCTGTTTGTTTGGTAAATGCATCTGTTTCCTGTTTTGTTTCTAAGACTTGGAATTCTGTCCTCCTGAGCTTGTGGTAGTTGAAGAGTGTGGCAGTTGTAGGAACCCGATGATGATTGTGGTCATTGACAAGCATTTGTAACGTCCTTCCTGTGTGCCGGGCATTGTACTTAGTGCTTCACATGCATTCTCTCATTTGATTGGGAGAACATGGTGTACCTATTTTTATCTTAAAGTAGCATTAGGGTAAAATAAATGGCAGGAAAGAGAGCAAGGAGGAAAGGGCTTCGATAGGTGTGAAATCTACAAAACGGTGGCAATACAGAGGATTCCCTCAGCTCCCTGTGGAAGTGCTGGTCTAAGTTCCTTGGCAAATGTACCGTTAGTGGTCTGGGGCCTGTTACCTTCTTGTCATTCTCCTTCTCAGCTGTTCAGGTGTGTTCAGATGATTAAAGGTCCAATGTTTTAAAAATGTTTTGAGTTCTCATATGAATGTGATATTCTATTAGTACCTCAGAATCATTATTCTTATACAGTTTTGCATATACTAGTGAATAAGGTGGTAATAGGGTGCCTATAGAGTTATCTTTACACATAGTGTATATATTGTAACTTAAAAGCAAATGTAAAACTTCCTACATAGCTGTGTAAACTTGTCTCCCCTTCTTATAATTTGTTGTTCTGCTCTGTTCCCTGCATAACCAGTGGATGAGCCAGAAATTTAGACATTTTCTCTTTTTCTTCCTTCTCTCTTCTTTCTTTGGCAAATATTTATTGAGCTGCCACTATGGGCCAGGCGCTATCCTAGGTACTAAGTATACGATGAGGAATAGGTTATTGGCTACCTAGATCTAAGGGTTTATCGTCATCCGGCGAAAAGAGAGAATTCATTGCAGTTGTAGTGAGTGATCCAGTGGAGCAGCATCACCTTTAACTTCCCAAGTCTTGGGAATCTGTTAAAATGGCTCTTGTCTCCACTTCTGCACTTGAACCATTCCAGCCCTAGTTCAGGTTCTTAGCACATTTTACTTGGTTTCTTACAATAGTCTCCTGGCAAGGTTTTCTTCTGTATGCCTTTCGTAATCCACACTTGGCACCACTTGTCAAATACCTCATTCTTAAATGAGAATTCTATCAGGTTGACCCTTCAAATCTGGCTCCACTGCTTCCTAGATGTAACCTTGGACAAGTTACGTAACCTCTTTGAGCCTCAGATATCTGTAATATGGGCATAATTTTATAGATTGGGTTATAGAAAAATTATATCAGCGAATATACATAAAGCTGTATGTTCCTTGATAAACAATATTTGTTTCAGGGGTTCAACATGGTGATTCGACAACGTAGTATGTGTTAGACATTATGATTAGGAGACATTAAGTTATTATTGCCACTGTTGGTCCTAGTACTGTTTTTCTGCCCAAAAAGCTTTATTTTCACCGTTGACTCTAGAATACAGTTCACTTTTTCTAGTTCAGCCACCGGGACGTTTCCCAGGCTGCCTGTCTGCCCTGTGAGAGCCCCCTGCCACATGTCCTGAGTTCAGGCACAAAGCAGCTTGCAGTTTCCCAGACCTGTCAGGCTTTTCTTGTCTTGGTACAGATAGTTCCTTTTGCCTGGAAGCTCCCACCTTCAATTAACTGGTCCTCCAGATTTTCGTTCCAGCAGGAGCTCTTTCGGGAAATTTTCCTTCCCTGCCCTCTTCCCCATCATTTGTATATCTTTCCTAATGCTTCCCTGGACTTGTTTGTCTTTTTAGCACCACACTTATCCTAGTCCACTTTCTTATAATTGTTGATCCGCTCATCTGTTGCAATTAGACTATAAATTCTTTGAAGACAGGGCTCTTGTCTTACTCAAGTTTTTTTTTTTTAATTGAAGTGAAGGTGATGAACTATTCATTTCAGGGGTTCAACCTGGTGATTCGACAATTACATACATTACAAAATGCTCAGTAAAATGTATGTCACTATACAAAGATAACTACATTATTATTAACTATTTTGTATGGCATCATTATCAATATTCCCCAAATACTATTTTATATTACATAAAAATATATAAATAAGTTTATGGACATTGTCATGATATCATGGTTTTTGTTCCTAATGTACACAGCTGTGTATTTATATACCATGGAGGGAACAAAAGGGGTAGATAAGAAGCCCCGTTTGCTTAGCATCATCTTCAGAATAATAGAAGGAGAGCAGTGTCTGTCTGTTTCTAAAGTTTGGGGTTCTAGTATGTTCTGGATTTATTTCCTATAGATTTCCATCCTATAATAATTTCCTCGCCAGCACTTATTAGAGTAGATCAAACCTTTGCTGGCTTAGGGTCAAGAAGCTCCTAGAATAATTTGGGGAAGTCCAGCTGCCTTTTGCCCAGTGCTGCCCTTCAGTTGGGTGAGCGCTCGGGGAGCCTGCAGTGGGCTTCTGAGAAGCATGCTCAGAATGTTGGAGCGATTCAGACATGCAAGGCCCTTTTGAACCCTGACATCAGACACCTCTTAGCCAGTAAGTAAACTGAGAAATCCACCAGTTACCTTGAAAATGGGAAGCTTAGCCCTTCTGTATTTCACACAAATTACAGTATTTGTTAGTTTTTAGCATGTACATTTAATGTGGCAGCATAGTAAGATAATGCCTTGAGAACTAGTATTTTATTTTGTTGGCTTCTAAATGTGTGAATTTATGACCTTAATGCTGCATTAATGATTTCTTTCCATTTCATATTATGTGAGGTAATGATCATTTGCTTATTATCTGACTCATCTTTATGGGAATAACTCTCATATGCCAAATTATATTTCCTGTGTATGCCTGGAGAAAAAGAGCCAGATTGTTAATGTATTTTTGAAACTACATATTACAGAGTCTGCAAAGTAAAATATGAACTATTTGGTTCCACTTTGATATTTTTCAATTATTGTTTTATAAAGTATATGCCGTTTGAGAATGTTTTAAGTCTGGACTGCAGCTTGTTTTGGCTCTGTTTGCTAGGCCATATGTTACTGTTGTAATTCGGTCTTTTCTTTCTATCTTGGATAGTAAACTAGAAATGGCATGTGGAATTAGACTTTTTTAGAGTTATACTATGTTAATTAGGTGATTTTCTCATTCTGATTTTGAGGTACCATAAGCTAGAACTTCCTGTTGCTAAGCAATAGCTCACCTGTTGTAGGTGTAGTGAGCCCATCAGTGCTCCAGTGGCTTGGTGAACCCCGTCATAGCTCAGGCTCGGACTGGCTGCCTCTCCGTTTAAGCAACCTCACCCATTTACCCTCAGGTGCCAGACATGATTTCCGTGTTGTCTTGATGTGAAAAAGGTTGAGATGCATAGACTGTTTGAAGCACCCAGACTGTGAAATTAAACTTCGTTCTAGAACTGTGATGCAGGAGCCTTGGATTATATGACTATTCCCCCGTTTTGTAGTTTTAGAGAAAATTTTTTTTTTCTTGTTTGAAAAAAAATACACATTCTTAGTAAAAACTTTAGAAACTAAGAATGGATGGAAATTAGAAAATACACATAAGTACACCATCCAGAGATAAGTACTATTAACATTTTATAATCTGTTCTTTCAAACATGTTTCTGTTAAGTACCTGTTATGATAGGTATGTTCTCTGAAAGTAAAATGTTTAATCTTTCTTCATTTAAAGATGTGTTGTTAAGTCTTTTAGGTTGAAGTTTAAGGGGAACTTCCTGAAATATCTTTTTGATCTTTTTTACTGGTTTATATCCTAGCTGTTAGAACATAGGTCTCCCAATGACCCAGGTCATCCAGAAAGTGTCTATAAATCGGATTATCTGAACAGTGAGGAACTCATTACACTTGATTCCACAAGCAAGGTAAAACCATCACTAGGCCTTCGTGCAGATAATTGCGTTTAACATAGGTAGCAGGTTATTGCATGTGTATTTGTGGGGTATTGGTTTATAGATTTTTTCTTTTTTGTAACATCTCTCTGGTTTGGTATAGGAGTAGTACTCATCTCAAATTATGAGTCTTTAAGTATTCCTTTTTGTTTTCTCCTGAAGTTTCTGTAGAATTGGGATTTTTTTTTCCTGAAATATTTGGTGGAATTCAGTGAAACTTGGAGTTTTTGTAATTCCTAATTAAAATTTTAAAATAGTTGTAACATTTTTTAAAATTTCAATTTGCTCTTACCTAGTTTGTTTTTCATGAAATTTTTCTCTTAATTGTAGAATATATTGGTGTAAAGTTGTTTAGAAGTCCTTTAATTTTAATATCTGTTGGATATGTACTGACATTCCCTCTTTTGTTCTTCGTATTGATAATTTGTGTTCTCTTTTGTGTTTGT